TATATATATATATATATATACACACATTCAAAATGTTGGCTCTTATAAGTAGTTGTAATTCTTTGATTTAAATTTTTAAATCAAATACTTTAACAAAATCGTACTTTCTGTCTAACAATGTATATTTGTCTAACAATAGGCGTGACGCATGATTTAACAAATTTCAGGTTTATGTAAACGGTTTGAAGAGTTATTTGCGAGACATGTGGAACTTTATCGACTTTACCAGAAATACGCTCTATATGGCAATCGGCGTCCTTAGACTGGCAGCTTATCTTCAACAGCGTGCAGAGATACGAATGGACCCATCGGCCGCGCTAATATCAAGAGAAAATTGGAGCGATTTCGATCCGCAACTGATAGCGGAGGGTCTCTTTGCGGCTGCAAATGTCTTCAGTGCTTTAAAAATTGTTCATCTCTTCAGCATTAATCCACATCTAGGACCGCTTCAGGTATTGATAACAATACTATTTCACTCAATATCGATAGTGTTTTAGGAATCCTTTGAGGATGGGAAATTAATAAAGGAGTTAGTTTTAGAAAATGATAGACAAAGCAGATGTGAAAATATTTTTTCATATTTGATCTACCATTTTAAATTTCGAATTTTTTATTTCAGAAAGATCATCTAAAGCCATCAAATTTCATGAAAATTGAGCTAGTAATTTCTGAAATATAACAAGAGCAATTATAATTGCTGCCCATCCACAAAGGGTTACTCCTGATATTATAATATATAATTATTAATAAATTTTTTATATTGATACTTTATATCAACGAGACTTGCAATTTCTGTTTTAGATATCGTTAGGCAGAATGGTAATCGACATCGTGAAATTCTTTTTTATTTACACCTTAGTGTTATTCGCTTTCGCTTGCGGCTTGAATCAGTTGCTGTGGTACTTTGCGGAACTGGAGAGGCAGAAGTGTTACAGAGGAATATCGGATCCTTCATGGGATGCCGGCAGTGACGCCTGTTTAAGATGGAGAAGGTGAGAATAATCGAATTACTAAACGAAATGAGAGATATGTGTTCGAATCTTTCCTTTCAAATTAATCTTCGGCCTAATAATCATGAAAAAAATAATAGATTGTATCGTAAATTATTTATTAAAGCTACAATTTTTTGTCACATGTATACAATAAATATTTCGTTTTGTGCAGTATATTTCTAAAGCACGTTATCCTTGAAGAACAAAATGACTGTAATTTTGATTTTGATTTGAAAAAATGAAAATTTAATTTAATTTTCTAATGTATTGTTTTATTTATTTTAATGTATTTACTTCTTTTTAACATAATGTTACAAATGTTCCACAAATGTTTTAATTCCTCGTGCAAAATTTTTTCAGATTCAGTAATCTGTTCGAATCGTGTCAGAGTCTTTTCTGGGCCAGTTTCGGTATGATTGGCATCGAAAGCTTCGAACTTACCGGTACGTCCATGTGAAATTTAAAACTATATCTAAAAACAGTTATAAAAACAGTTATAAAAATGAACTTTTTCCTTAAAATTAATGCCTTGTCATCAATAAAAATATGTTATTATTTTTTAATCAGCAACGTTATTATTTTCAGGAATCAAGTCATATACTCGATTCTGGGGCTTGTTGATGTTTGGATCGTATTCCGTAATCAACGTGATTGTCCTGCTAAATCTATTGATAGCTATGATGAGTAACAGTTACGCTGTTATTGAGGTAAGGCTTCGACTAGAACGATATTTGTGATGTAAATTAATAATCTCGTCAACAGAAGCATTGTCGCAATAGGAACATTCCGACACGGAGTGGAAATTTGCGAGAACAAAGTTATGGATGAGTTACTTCGAGGACAGCGGAACTCTTCCGCCTCCTTTCAATATCTTCCCACCACCGAAATTGCTTTTCCGATTGTTCGGCCTGCAGAAGAAACGTATCGGTAGACATTGTAGTCAACGTCGACGTGCACACGAATATAAGTACTGTCTTTGAAATGTTTCATTCGAAAATAAAATAATAACATCATGTAAAAGTTTTAAACGTTCAGATGAAAATATTCCATAGAATTTTGTAGAATTTTTATGTCTCATTCCATGATTTTTGAAGAAAAATTATAAAATCTAAAGAAGTTCAAGATACTTATTCACAAATTTTCATAAATTTAAATATAGCAAATTTTTAAAAACATTATGAAATATTATGAAAGAATTGTTTTTTATTAGGTAACTTTACATAATTAATTTTCATAGTTAATGTTAAATATAACTCTTCAATATTTTAATTATTGTTGTTCTGCAGATAATAAGATATGATAGCATAATAATGGCGAGTTATATATGTTTTCCATCAATTATATAGATACGGTGCAGTCATGAGAGCTTTGATATGGCGCTACGTTGTGAATGCACACAGCGAACACGAAATGGAACCTGTCACCGAAGACGATGTTCACGAACTTAAGTCTGATTTATCATCGTGGAGATGTGAACTTCTGGACATCTTGCACAGAAATGGCATGGACATTGGTGACGTCGACATAAAGGAAAAGAGTAAGCATTTCAGCAAATAATAAACAAGATAAGCTTAACGCAAAATTTATGCTCATCAAAAATTATATTACAATTCATATTGACTGTCACTGTTCTTTTGAAACTAGCTATATTGGGTAAGAAGATGAAGGTATGGGAGAGAAGACTCATGAAAGACTTTCAAGTAGCAGGTCCTGTAAATCCAGCTGATGTCGATCTTCAAGAAGAGATAGCTCTTCAACAACCTGAAGACGAGAACAACGTTGAAAGATGGAAGAGAATCGCCAGATTAGCCGTATTAACTTCGGCTGAACATCGTTGGAATCAAGTATGATCTTTATTATTTCATTAAAAGACCGATGATAGTCGGTTAAACTTATAAGCTTCTCGTCGTAATTTTTTAAGGTGGTGAAACATGCAATTAAAAGCTCTCAAATCGGCAAAAGTTGCAGCAAAACGTCGCTACAGAATCAGCAGAGTTTAAAGAGAGCCATGGAGGAAGCAAAACGTTTGACGCAAAAGAGCCCACTACCGCCAGAAGTGCCGGTTGAATTGCCAGAAACTACTGCAGCGACGATATTACATGTGCTACACGAAATAGTTGACAGCGATAGCGGTGTTAAAACAGGACTTGAAAAAGACAGAACTCCAGAACCGATTAGAAACGGCATTGGTTCCCAACCGTTTGAATTAATTCTTCAGGTATTAAATTCAATAATTAACAGTATATGTAAAAACGTTCTGATGAACGTAAAATAATTTCTTAAGCACTTAATAATTTATTAATTTATTAGACAATTTAATAGGGATTCTAAATAATATAAAGATAAAACTTCATAAGAACGATTTCATCGATTTCAACGAGCTTAATACAGGTTTTAGCAGTCGCTTATTATTGCATATTTATTAAAAAGTTACTAACAAATAAAGTTAATATCTACTGGAGGTCATTCAAGGTCATGACCTTGATCTCATATGTCATTGTCATGATCATTAAAATCGATAAGATAATCGTCCTTAATATAAAATTTTATCCAAAAATGTTTTATACCATGTTTTAGGGCAAATCTACATCTTCGATCAATTTCGTTGACGAAAAAATGACGAAGGCTACTGCACCGTTATTACCACTTCGTACATCACCACCGCGAGTAATCAAAAGGAAGGCACCTACTCAACTCGGTATTCAATTACAATTATTTAACTTTCTTATATTTGAATATAAACTACATTATAAACTGTATTAACATTACTCATATTCATCATAAAAACAAAAGTTCAGTTTAGTTGAAAAATTGTATTCCCTTATAAAGTAATACTTAATATTTAATTTAATCATATAATATGCCAGCAAATATCAACTGAGGCATACATACATACATACATACATATACAACTGATACGTACATGTATAATAGTATAACTGTTACGTACTGTGTTATATCATAGTTATATTATTGAGTGAGAAATTATAACTAATAGCTATGTTGATGAGATTACTTTATTTATGGTACTTATTGCTAATACTATTCTGTTTTTTCTTTAGGCCAATTATCAACTTCTGTTCAATCCATGGCTACTCAAGCTTCGACATCAACAAGTGTTACTTCCGTTGTCCCTATGATATCTGTTACGACTGCTGCAACTTCCGCAATCGATACAGCACTTATGACTGCCGTGACTACTGCTACAATAATTACGCCTGTCACTATGAAGACTACAAATACTTATGCTAAGCCCATCACTATTACCACTACTGCTACTTCTACTAGTATTACTACTACTACTACTACTACTACTACTACTACTACTACTACTACTACTACTACTACTACTACTACTAGCATTACTACTGCTGCCAAACTTGTTGCTACTTCTGCCACTACTGCAAAATCCACTGTTGCTACCATCTCTGTTGCTACAAGAACTTCTTCTAGTTCTCCTATAGAAAATCAAAGCAAATCTGTTACCGCATCTATGGGTGTACCTCCAACCAATACTAAAGACGGAAATAGTTCGATCAGAGCACGGCCGAAAGTTTCACATAGTCCTAAACTTTCGATTATCCCGTCGTTAACAGTTACCTCAAGCTCAGATGATAATAAAGATGATGACCGAGAGAAACTTGTAAGCATTACATCGCATAATAAATCGAGAGGAGGATGGCTTTAAACCAAGAAGTAATCATTTCAAAAGAAACAGCAATAAGATTCTCACAATTACAGTTGATATAAAAATCCAACATCTTGTGTCAAAAATTTAGAAACATTATCCCACATTTTTCTCAAAATTTTGAAAGTCATAATGCGAGGAATTACTTCTAGAGAGGATTGTAAAAGCATTTTCATTAAATTATTTTATTTAAAAAGATACAGATATATTATAAACGTTCTTATATATTTGTCAATATTTGTATTTGTAAAGAGAAATAAAGAAACAGAACTTACATAGATAAAGCACTGTATATATTTATTCTCTCATCTATAAATACATCTATCCCTGTGTACGGCGCTACTAATTGCATGCTTATGACAAGTTCATAGATGTAATATAATTGTATAATAATTATATGATAATTAACATGGGCGTTAGCTTACTATAACTGCGATTCATATGAATAAATTCAATGTATTTCAATTGACAAATAATACGAGTCTAAAAGGATATCTATAAAAGATCAGGATGTTTATGTTGTCTAAATAACAATTTAAATGCCATAAATATGCAAAATTTATTTAATAATATTTAAATTCCATAAAAGTAGTTATCTGATTCGAAGACTCAACCGAAGACTCAACTCGTGCAGAGCATTTTGTCAAAATGATGCAATTCAAGCAACTTGCACGACTTTAGTCAGCGGATCCTTCTGCGCTGAATTAATCTTATCGCCTAAGGATAAAGCCATACCTTGGCTCTTGGCTCTGATACGAATATGGCCGACCACTGGCGCATCAGATTTGTTCAGAGGTTTCTCGATGGATAAATTCGCCAATGCATCCTCGCCGAATATCGATTTAGCATACATATTTGCAGCCATAAATCCACATTGTCCTGAAAGAGCCTGTAAAGAAAATAATAACAATTTTTTAAATAGCAATGCTATTTTAATACAAAATTAATCTAATAAAAAAATCAAATATACCTTTTCTGGCGTAAGACAACGCATATTTGTGGATTTCAATAAATGTGCAAGATACTCTCTCAAGTCAGATAGAGTTGTATTAACAGAAACTTTATTCTCCCATTCAAATTCGGCCCACATTTGGCGGAATTCCGTATCAGTGCACGTCGCAGGCACTATATAATCCATAATATCGATATGTATATCGTTAAGAACAACTACGCTTCTGTCAGAGCCTGCTCCTGATACATCATAAACTGCAAATAAAAAAGAATAACTATGTAACTTTTGTCTTTTGAAACAGACAACAATTTGTTGCAATTTTTCAATAGTACATAAATTTCACATTCACCAATATTTCCAAAAATAATTCCATTCTCTGTAGATGTGACTTTCACATTTGCCTTGATACTAGCAAAATCCCTAGGCGCAAGTACGACAGGTTGCGGTCTCTCCACTAACTTCAAATCGCCCAAAGTAGCCAATTCCAATGTACAATTCTGCAAAGTATCTTCCGTTTGATTGACTATCAGCACGTCTAGCACGATGTCATATTGATTAACATGCACCAAGGCCTCTGCATAAACTGGATCCGAGAAACCAGTGAGTTGAATGACTTTGCTCAAGGCACTCGGGGTCTCTCCGCTGGTGCCAGGTCGTCCTGCTACAGCCGCGCTGAGACTTTGCTCGAACATATCACCAGCTCCACCAGCCAGATCGGATCCTCGGCTCAATTGCAAGAATTGAATTGCGTCATCGACTTGGACAATACTGCCCGGTTTTTCTTTGGCCTTCTGATTTTGCGAGTCCTCTTCCGCCTTTGCAGTCAACATTCTACCGAGTGCATCGCGACATCCTTCAGTGAAGACCTTCTGTACGAGAGGTGTTGGACAAGCAAGAGATCTGAGGCACAAGGAAACTCTCTCCGCGTCGTCATGTGTCATTGCTTTGCAGGGAAGACCTGAACGGCCCAATTGCAATACACTGGACATTACAAACATTGCTTCTGCTTGCAATCTATTGCTTTTTTGGATGTTGGTTTCAAGTATCTTATAACGGAGAGCTAATTTTGCCAATGTGGTAGCCAAGGACGCACCAATAAAAAAATCGCCTTCCATCATATATTGCACTAATGCCGGTCGCTTTTCTTCCTTTTTCCCTATTAATTCAAACATATATAATAATACACAATGGATGCATTCCGTTTTATACTTATTTAAAATTGCATTCAAAATTAACATTATAAAACTTTAATGATAGGGCGCATTCAAGCCGGACAAAGCAATTAGTCTGCTTGCCGAACGATTGAATGTGATGTGATTAGATCTATAAGTGACAACCAATCATGTTCATTTGCTTGGCGAGCAGGCTAGCCGCTTTGTCAATTTAAATTCAAAATATTCAAATTTATTTTCTAAAAAAAATTTCATTTCTTGTAGCAAATGAAGTAGTTCGAATAGCAAATGAAGAAAATTTTAAAAATAAGAGTTACTTACGTGAAGATGCAGCACTGAAAGCACTTTGAGTCGCATAAGTACCATCAGATGTTACAAGTTGCGCAGGTGCAGCCTGCGAATTACCATCTTCGGACTTTTCGCCAGCTTGACGTTTGTTTTCTGCTTCGAGTAACGGCAACTCGCCTAATGCTGCTCGTACACGACTCATCACAGCTTCTATATCTTCTTTTGATGTGGCATATTCGCCGAGTATCCAAAGTGCAGCTCTGTGTACTTTTACGGATCGTATATGAGGGAATACCTAATTTATCAAAATCAAAATTAATTTTTGACAGCCAACCATATTTTTTTTATAATGAACTATTGCATACACACTTCCAACAATTTCTCGATAATCAATGGTCTGAGATTCTCGAATCTTTGAATAGCTTCACGAATAAATACAAGAAGATCCGTAGCTGCTGCTTCGTTGCTTTCCGATAGAAAATCGGTCAAAACCGGAATGACGGTAACAGCAACATCCGCGAATTTCATGGAACATGTATGGAGAGTTCGTATCAAGAGCTGACGATATCTGCCAGCATCCTCATGCTCTCCACCAGCTGTCCTAAGAACTTCCTTCTTCAAAAGCTGGACCATTTCTTCGATCGTACGAGTTGTAACCAAATCCATGGCTAGAGCTAAGGTTTTTGTCCTGACTTCCAAGGCTGGTGATCCTATTGAAAATAGATAATAATAACAATAATAATGTTATTAATAATATGTAAAAATTCCAAAAAATATCTTGTTATTAATATAATACCTAAAACGCGGAGTATATCCATTACAAGATCTTGTAGTACTCTTTCATATACAGGACTGTCTTTCATCGCAATTAGCCGATCCAGTACGATAAGTTTGACATTGTTGTCACTCTCCTTGACAACCAATTCGATGTAGCAAGAAGCCGCTGCTTTGATCGCGGTTGGCGCACTGGAAAGAGTCACCAACGTGCCGGCTGCTTCGTAACGTACAGCAGCGCTAGGTGAATTTAGCAAACTATAAATACATCTGATAAAACGTGCTCTTTCCGATGGATTTGCAAGACAAACCTAGAAGAGAAAAATTATATCAACAAACATCAATAATAGATATATGGACTCGTGCATTAGATATAACGCATTTATTTATACCTTATATATTAATTCAACAATGACCAACTGTAGTATATCACCAAAACTCGGCACTTGATCGAGACACGCAGCTAAATATGCAAGAGCTTTACTCTGATCAGCGTGCAGTAACATCAAGAATGCGTTTCTTCTACATGACATATCTTGTTCCCCTTCCAGATACTTTGCAATCAAGTCGGGAGCATCCGGTATGAGAAATTCAAAATTTCTGTATATAGTAAAAATAGCGAGCACTGCGTTACGTCTGACATAAGAGTGTCTGTGCTCCAGACAAGCGGTTATTGCCGGCATCAGTGGTTCTAGAAGTTCTGGTTCCTTTAATTTACACAAAAATCTGCAAATTTTCGTAACAAAAATACATACATTTTTGTGATATTATAAAGAAATATGAGTTCTTAAAAAGTCTCAATTTTTTGCTATCAGTTGCATTTTCTTTAAAAATTTTTCAAGTTCAATTGTATATTGTTAATCTGTGGTATAAGAGGCTGATTGAAAAAACAAATAAAATATTAATTTATTATTTCCAAATCTTGTTAGATTTAAACACACTGATATTTTTTTCAGAAAACAGTCTTTTCAACCGAAAAACCTCCTGTTTTCTTTTAATTCTAAATTTTTTGTAAATCTTTATATTATTAATATCATATACAGAAATTTTTAAATTTTCAACTATATAAAAAATTGCAATATACTTGAATTCTTAGTATAAATATATAGTACAATAATTAGCCTACATAAAAAACAAAACTTAACAATAAAATTGTAAAACCAAATTAACGCAAATCATTATACTATTTAAAAATTAAGAAGTCCCAGAATCACTAGTATCCCAAATTCATAAATTTTTACAGATTTTTATAGATTTTTAATATTTACAGATTTCCAGCATATTAAGAGTTCTTTAATAGATGCCTCTTGAGCATCAAAATTTAATTGTGATATTATTTCAGTACTTTAGCTGCGTTTTTAAGTCCGATAAAATTTTTACACACGGTTCAAAATGACTACAAATACGATATACATGCATGCACGCACATATATACACCAGGCCTGTCTAATTTGAGCTCCGGAGTGAAAAATAAAGCCATTGACGCAAAAAAATTCATTGTAGGTAAGATTTCGAGAACTGTAAAATGTTGATAAACATCACTCAGATGTGTATCAACACTTTACAGTCCCCAAAATCTTACACTGAATTTTTTTGCATCGATGGCTTTGCGTTTTGGCTCTGGAGTTCAAATTGGACATACCTGATATATACATATATAATACATGAATTCACAATGAATTATTTAAGCAGCAAAAATCCAGCTTTAACCGGTATGGCTGTTCCTTTCTTATTGGTTGTTCCCACATAAGTTCAATAAGATTCTTATTGTATTATATATAAATTTTACCGACAAAAAGATATCAAATTTAATTTAAATTCTGTTACATCTTATGTCAG